GTGTGTGAGAGATACGTAGTGTGATGTTAAATAAACATATCAGGAAAATGATGTCCAACTATTCAAGATAAGGTCCAACACATGAAGACCATGTGGATTCCATTCATTATAGAATAGTAAAGTAATTTCTATTACATACGCATAATAATTACTGATCATAACTCGTGATTCACACCTCAATCAAATTCTGAAAAGAATTTTACCAATTCAGAAATGCATAACATACATAAATTGTTAAATTTACGTATTTTCGTTTTATTTTTTAAACGCTAATAGGGTGTAGATTAAAGGGTAAGCTTCCAACATAATTGATTATCACAAAATATCTTAGAAACAGCAAACATTATGCTTATAGATTTGTTGTTAACTTTAGAAACCTCAATCAATTAGGTGAACCTCATGGCATAGTGTAACAATATATGTAAAGCATTCATACGGTGGAATTAGCAACTATTTTATAAAGCAGTAAAAAGAAGAAAAGATATTAACACACTACTTGGCAAATGTTGAGATAGACCAACCAAATATTATTATGACATGATATTATTTGTTTTAGGTCAAATTATAAGATTTTCTTGAAAAGGCCTCATGTCTAAGAGTTTTATTGCACTTTTTATGTAACTTTTTTCCTAACTATTAATGTGAAACTTTTATTCGTACACCTAACCATCACCCCTTGAACATAATTTTACACAGCCCATCAACAAGACCCTATACCGACAATTCACAACAATTGACCTATCAGCAAGCTCTCGAATTAAACATCAAGCGTTTACTTTTTGAACTAAGCTCGAAACGATTCATCAACCCGCGTGAATTGATCTATAATAAGCCCACAAAGTAAGTTCTTATGGGCCATAAAACACTTAAAAATATCAAAAAACTTTGATTTTAGATATTTTATACTTAGTTCACTTAAAAAACAAGTGCAAAATTTGCTATGTATTTACCCATTTTTAAGGTATGAGCCAAACTTTATGTGTATAGAGTATAGAAGCGTTATATCCCCTATAAATACATCCACGCGTTGCGTTTGAGCAGTCTAATATTTACTGTTACAGCTAATAACAACACCCACCCAAGCAATTTCTATCACTTCTCAAATCTATACGCGTGTATCCCCATTTCTCTCTCCTATATATATCCGACTCTCTTCTACTCTCTCTCTCTCTCTCTCCTTTCATTTCCGGCATCTCTTCTAAAGCAAAGCACTTTCCACATGCTTATATCGCCATTTCAAGAATCCTTTTAAGGATAACCCAAGCTACAAAACGTAGAAAGATCACAACTTTCTTTTTCTTTTCTATTTGGGTTTTCGGGTTCAAAGATCTTAACTTTTTCTGTTTTTGTTTCTGGGATTAAAGATTAGTACAAGCTTTTCAATTTGTGATTCTGGTATTAAAGACTTAAACTTTTTAAAATCTCTTTTGATTATTTTGGATAAATTTTCTTTCTTGAATTGGTTGGTGTAGTAATAAGGAGAGTGAGATTTGTGGGTTAAGGGGAATGAGGATGAAGGGTGAAATAGTTGGGTACAAGAGGGGAGTGGAAGAGGAGGAAGAAATTAACACAGAGGAAAATCAAACAGAAATGGTAGGTGGTGGGTTAGTACAGTCCAAGAAAACTATAGTGGTGGGTTATGCTCTTACTTCCAAGAAAACTAAGAGCTTTTTGCAGCCTAAGCTTGAATGTCTTGCTAGGTAATCTTTTCTTCTTTTTTCTGTTGATTCATTTTCATAGAAATATTTGAGCTTCTTGAATTTAGAACAGTAGTAGATTATGGGAATAAGAATATTCCATTTTTACTTTGTGTGGCCAACATAGCTGGAGAACATTCTGGAGGGTCTGTAACCTCTGACAGATAGATATTTTTGGTGCTAGTATATATGAATTTTAAATTCTTGAAAATATTACTAATTGATTTACTGGTCGCTTTCTATGAAATGACCCTTAACTAATGCTGTGTTAATTAGTCATAGTGGACTTAGTGGACATTTCAATTGATTGTAAGTGTCTTTGTTGTTCAGGTTTTATTTATTCTCCCTCTTTTCCATACAGCACATTTACTATTTGGGGTTAAACATCTTTTTCCATGACTACTGTTTATCAATACTTGTTAAATTTTTTTAACTATGAAAATTTGTGATTTATAGTAATTTTAAATTAAGGAATTGATGTACACATATACAAAGAAAATTAGATGCACTGATGCTCGCACTCCAACCCCCATTCTTTAGGAGCAGAGGGATTATTTCCTTCCCTTTTTTCGGGGGTGGGAGGAATTGAACCTTCCAGTCTGTTTTTCCTTTTCTTGATGATGGTATTTCTTCAGATTCTGGCACCCCTAAGACTGTGTTGATCTAGGCATGACAATGGTGCGGGCAAGGTGGTTTTGGGTTGTCGAAGCTTTACTCCCATCACTGGGTGCCCCGCCTGCCATGTTTTTATTTTCCTTCTATCGTTCCATTATTCTATTTCAAACTGAATGTTATTTTCATTCATCTGTTTCCGTCGTTTCCGATTCTTGCCCCGCCAATTTTCATGTAAACTGTTGTATATGGACCAAAATTCTACAAAAAGAGGACGACGTTAGGCATGTGAGGAGAACACATTTTGCACCATAGTTCTGGCAACATTAGAATTGACACCCTTTTTGGCTTAATGACTAGGTAGAAGCTGGAATTGCATTACCTAGTGCTTCAAAGAAAATTTTGTTTGCATGTGACCTCCTCTAAGTATGAGGTGGACCAGCTGGTTGATTAGCTCATTCATTCTTTTCTCTGTTGGGTTCTTGAAGATTCTGCCTTTAGGAACATGGAACTAAATGAGAGTAGAGAGATAAGAGAGACATGGGGAAGAACAGATTCACAGAGGTCTGAAAACCTAAAACTAACATGTTCATTTGTGCCACTTTTCTAGGAGAGAAGGAAAATATAGCCGGCGTATCTTTGCTAAGAGTCTCGCCATCCATGCCCCACTTAAGCTTTCTTTGCCTGGTCCCGCCTCATTGAATTGCCATTCCTTCATGTGATTATCAAATAGTGCTCTCTAATGCAGTCTTGTGCAAGTAATTTACATACTTTGGATTGTGAATGCTCTATGATGGCTGCTGTTGAACTACCCCTATTATATTCTGCTTTCTGAAATGTAAAGTTGGTCATTTAACTACAGTTACAAATGTCTCCGAGAACCAGAACTGAAATTAAACTTAAAACTGATGAATGATGATCCCATTCACTTTTCCTCCATTCCATTACCTGGATTTCGCTTCAACCAATTTTCTACCTAAACTTCTTTTGCTCAAGTCTTACGCTAATGTCCAAGTAGATTCAAAATGCAATTGCAACCTGGTGGCTAACCTTGCTCATAAATTATGCAGGGCTAAGGGAATATTATTTGTTGCTATTGATCAGAGCAAACCCCTTTCAGATCAAGGCCCTTTTGATATTGTGCTCCATAAGGCAACTATTCCACCTTTTTTAATTCCTCAGTGTATTTCTCCTTCTTGTTGGAATGTATATGCTTTATGTTTTGATTCTATTCACATCATCAAATATCTTTTCCAAAACATCTTACTTTCTTGCGTGTATATGCCTGTATAGCTAAGCGTTATAGCTTCTCCCCTGAGAATGTCGTTCTAGTATATGTCACCGTCTGTCTTTTCTGACATTCTCGTGCTCTGTATTTCTTGCAGTTGTCAGGAAGCAAGTGGCGGCGTATTCTCGAGGTTGGTTCATTTGAAAGCTTTCTTTTTTTGTGTGTTATTCACAGAATCCTGTAAGAAACAGTTGACATGCATGTTTGGACAAATCTGTAATAATTATAGGCTACAATATATGCAATTACGTGGATTAGACATGCATTGGCAGTGGTTGGTGAGACGAGCTGTCTTTTTGCTTAAACTTGTTCCATCTGACATAACTTGCAGACTGCTATCTCTTCCCTCGGTCATGAATCGTGGACAGTGAAAATATGTCTCCTTCGTGGACAGATTAGCTGATTGCAGATAGGATTCCTGGTTTCCATAAATGGATTCTGTTTTTCCAGGCTCATCACCAATCCTTATATCAGCTTAAGAGGAGAGCACTAACCTAATCAATGTTTTATAATCTTCGGTATTTTTCCTTTTAGGTGCTGCTTTGATGTTCTCCAACTTGCTTGGGATCACTGCTGTTGTTGTTGTTGTTTGATGTTGTCTTATCTGACTTGCGTGTTGGTTACTTGACCGTGCTGGATCATGAAATTTTGAGTCTGTTCTTTTAGAAGAATGACCGTTAAGTGCAGCTGTGAGAATAGCCACCCTTGAAAGAGTGCGTAATAGCTCACTGATAGAGTGCTCTTGCGCTGAAAATAATTGTCTCAACTCTTAATACACTTATTTTGGTCATTATTCTCTTATGGTGAAATGGTAGATTTATTCTACTTGAACTGAAAGTCACAACTCAATCGGACTGTTTGTTGCTACTATATTTCCACTGTTATCTCATACTAGTTTTGTCATAGTTTAAAAAGGCGAATGCACTATGTGCTCCGATCACCTTATTTACATCCTGGGGTTTAACTGCTGTTTGCTTCTGTAGAGCCATCTAGTTTAATCAACTGACTATGTATTGGAGAACCACTATTATTTTCCTCCTTACCTCTTTCTTTGCTTTATATGAAGGAATATAGGCTAACACATCCAGATGTCACAGTTCTCGACCCTCCGGATGCCATACAGCATGTATACAATCGCCAATACATGCTTGAAGATGTTGCAGACCTGAACTTGTCGGATAGCTACGGTAATTTTTCCTGTCTTGTTATGACCATTTGATAATTATTACTGCTTAGGTTACATGCAATTGTGGCCATTGATGATTGGCCAATGTCGGGCTGCTGTCTGGGGGTTTGAGGTTTACCATATAACCAGAAAAAAAGAAGGATTAACTTGTTTTTGATTGCTTGATAGGGAAAGTTGGTGTTCCAAGGCAACTGGTTATTGAGAAAGATTCTTCATCTATTTCAGATGCAGTGAGTAAAGCTGGTCTGAGACTTCCTCTTGGTATGTATTCTTTTCCTCTTCGTCTTTTATCAACTGATCTGTGGGCAGTTGCCACTTTTTAAACTCAATAAGCTTCATACCTCGGTAAAGGTAGGTGTAGGCATCAAAATTGAAGCTGTGTAACTTACTGGGGACGCATTTGAATACTTTGAACAAGACGTCTTCCAAACTTGAGCAATATGTAGGCAAAGTGATCCATTCACACAATTTTCCTGAATTAAGCTGCTTTTATCTTCTCAGTTGCAAAGCCTTTGGCTGCTAAGTCCCATGAGTTGTCGCTAGCCTATGATAAGTTCTCTCTTCAGATGCTTGAACCCCCACTTGTCCTACAGGAATTTATCAACCATGGTACGTATATTAGTTGAAATATTGAACTTGTGTCTTCAATGTGCAGTTGTTTTATGAGTCATCTAGTTGCTGCTTATGTATTTTTTTTCCTTGTGTTTGTAGGAGGAATTCTGTTTAAGGTATACATTGTCGGGGAAGCAATTAAGGTTGTTAGACGATTCAGTTTACCTGATGTTAGCAAACGTGAGCTGTCAAAAAACCCTGGGGTTTTTCGATTCCCAAGAGTTTCTTGTGCTGCTGCATCTGCTGATGAAGCAGATTTAGACCCTTGTGTTGGGGGTGAGCCATCTTTTCCCTCAACTACTCTCTGTTTCTAGATAAATTGAATACATCATAGTTGCTTTAGATATATAGATGCACCGTTATGGCATACACCAAAAGAATAAACAGATGAATAATAAGTTGTTTTTTATATTTCTTTTTTATTTAATCATTTGAAGAGTTGGACTTCCCTAATTCTCAAGGCATATCTTGTTGATAATTCTCTAGGACCATGACCTGCTAAAAACTTTGGGATCATGGGGTCACAGGAATTTGGGAGGAGTTCCTTTAACTATGATTTTGAACCTTTGGTGACAAGCTTTTACCTTTTTGCACTTTCTTCGCCCCAATAAACTAGGGCTTTTTCTTAATTTATTCATCAGAAAATCTGTCCCTTACTCCTTGAAATGGAAATGCTCTTGCTTCAACATTTTAGACTATTGTTTAAACACTTATTTAACAAACACAATACACTAATGCTTTTAATATTTTATTCTTGAACCCTGCAATTTAGAGTAGGTTTGATTAACTGGGATGTAGAGAGTATTTGCTGGTTAATAACCTTCCTCTATCAGTTCTTGCAAGTGCTTTAGATGAATTACATTGTGACGATGTTGTATTATAAGGTTTACAAGGAAGAAAGGATTATTTAAGAAGGTATTCAGTCATGATGGTGCTCTGGTATATAATTCTGTTTGAAGTCGTTAGCAGATAGAGCACTCAGTCTCTAAGTCCGAAGTTTAGAAGCTAAAGATATAGAGCTCTGTTACATACTGTATTTACTTCACTTTAGTGAATCGGACCAGTGATTGCCATCTTACCTTGGTGAATAGTATACTCCTCGGCAAGATACGTGTTGTGGAGATAGCATTTAATTATGGATATGTAGCTGTAGAGACCTGAAGTAAATCATAGAAAGTGGTCATATGATTATTTTCACTTTTTTTCCTTTGCAGAGCTTCCTCCACGGCCATTACTTGAGAGGCTTGCTAAGGAACTTCGGCGCAGACTGGTACGTTACTTTCTGTTTTCTCTTTCCATAATGATCTGTGTTGGAAATGATGATTGGTGCTTGTTTTACAGTTTCTATATTCTTGTCTTCATGTTTTTTGTTCTGCTGTGACACAAGGCAAAAATTCTATATAATATTATTGCAATGTTTTGTGCAGGGTCTCCGGCTCTTCAACTTGGATATAATTAGGGAGCTTGGGACCAAAGATCGGTTTTACGTCATAGATATTAATTACTTTCCTGGTAAGCAAAGCCTTCTAAGGGGAATTACACTCTCTAGTGTTAAAAGTAGTTAGATTGTCGAGAAAATTTTCACCTGAAAGTCATGACTACAACATATTTATAATTTGCTGCAGGTTATGGGAAAATGCCAGAATATGAACACATATTTACTGATTTTCTCCTCAGCCTGGTGAAGCAGAGATAATGAGGAATTGAGAAATCCATTTCTGGTTAACTATTATTTCCAGTGAAAGTATCAGAAGGAATTTATCCACCCGCCAGTACGTGGAGGATAGAACTGATTACTGTGCAATTCCTAAAAGCTGGTAGAAGATGCGGTGGTGAAGTGCAGAGAAGTTCCATTAGCCTTCTAGCAAGAATGCTGGATGAAGGTTGCTCTTTGGAAACACAAATCCAATTGCTGACCTTGGGATCCAGCTTAGTTTCCGCTGTCTTTTTTTTTCCCCTTCTTTTTGGGGGGCATAGAGCAGTTCTATTCTTTCTTTTGGTTGGGGTGGAATTTTGTAGGGATAGCCCTGCTGTGTCTGCATTCTCGGATGGGTGGTCTTTGATAAGTAGTCAAAAGATATGCCACCTTGTAAAAATGCCTTTTACAGTAGGAACATACATGTACATTCTTGACTTTTCTGTTGTACTCCAACTCTTGGGGAAGTTTGGCTTTTCGTGTTCTCTTGCCTCTCTATCTCCGCTAGATTAGATAGGGGTAAGATCTGCGTACATATTCTCCCTGTACATCACTATGTGGGATTACACTGAATTTGCTGCTGCTGCTGTTGCGATGAAAATGTTTCTGAATCACCTTAGCTTTGCAACACAGTTTAGCGTGTTAAACGCAAAGGAGAGACTTCGAATCCAAGATGTAAAAGCTCGAGAGCTTTGACGAGCTTTAACGGTTTAACCAGAGTGCTTACTTATATTAATGTTCAGATTATCAAGTTTAGAACCAGGGCAATACCTTTCTTCTCCTCAAAGCCTTTTACCACCAATCAAGCTTTGTATCTGACCAGCTTGCCATTTCCATCTTTCTTGAGTTTAAAGACCCATTTGCATTTGAGTGGTCTTTTACCCTTTGAAAGTTCAACCAGCTTATACGTGCCATTTTTTTGTAGAGATTCATCTCTTCTTGCATGGCTTTCATTCACTGGTTGTTTTCTGGATGGGACAACACCTCCTTAAGACTTTCTGGCTTTCGTTCATCACTGATTAGGACATACTCTGTGAAAGGGTACCTACATGACTCTACCCTTGGCCTCTCTCATATACTCAGAGTTTGAGGTTGTTCTTCTTCTTGAGTGGGGTGCTCCACTTGCTCGACACCATCATCGAGTTGCTCCTCGATAAGTACGCCTCCAACTCCTTACTTAATGCTGCAATGGAGTCCTTACCCCTGCCTGCCTCTGCTCTTCTGATGAAGCATCTGAATAAGCAGGATTTGTAGCACAAACATAATATGCCCAACACAAGAGTAGTTAAATGTGTTCTTGAAAACACTCTAGTAAGTTCTAACACGTATAAAACGAAAAGGTGATAAAGGAGAAAAAACTTTCGTTTTTCAAAAAATATTCAATTTGTTGGGGAAAATGCTTTCTGATAGAACTTTTTTAACTGACAAAAACGTAAAAAAATGGAGAAATGTTTGATTCTACATTTCTTGTTCCTCGGGAAACATGGGTATTGCTCGCTTTTACACTCAAGTTTGCAATTTGCGACGCTGTTCCTTCGTTGTTCTCCCTTCGGTTTTCTGTTTCTAAGACTTAGTCCGGAGAAATAAGAGGTTATGTTATTTAGCAAACTCTGAATTGGCAGTTTAACAAATTTGTTGTAAGCATTCTTTACAATGTCCACAAAAGTGAATAGTCTGTGTTCTTGGTAGACTCAAAAACCCAAAACAAGAGATATCTGGAATTTGCAAGCATTAGTGTATCACAATTTGACCCCTAATCTTGGCTAGTTTTGTCCATGCCGGGTCACTAGGTTACTCCCATTTCCACTCACCAATATGACAGGAAGAAGAGCATTAGCAACGTATAATCAATTCTCCTACTTGGGATTTAGCTGATGTATAAGAATATGCATTATAAAAATCAGAATATTTTCATGCTTTCTAAAACATTTTTGTACAAAGAAAGAGAGAAAGGGAAGTTAGGCTTAAAATCGAGTCATCTTACATCAATAGGAGTTTTAACCAGTTATAAACCAAACGAAGTTAACTAGCTGACTTTATAGCATAACATATTAATTTATTGAAAATCTTGCTTAGGTCGACTAAGCAACTACTAGGATATCTTTCAGCATTAGAAAGGTCAAAAAAAAAAGGCTAAGTATAGGGTCAGGGAAGGGCCGCACCCAAAGAATATGATGTAATACAAATATTAGTAACTGCTTACAAAGTTCGAACTCATAATTTATAGGTTATAGGTCACACGGACACAACTTTAGAGCGGAAGGTACACGGTTTATCATCTATGTTTTGTGTTAGCACAAGCAAAGACATTTTTTAGAACATGTTAGGTAGTCACAATTTCACATAGACTACACTATAATAATCGCACTTGTATAATTACTTCATTACGCCGAAAAGAAACTCGTAATTATGATAAACAGTTCTAATCACCTGCCAAAGCCTAAAAGACTAAAATTGAACAAGTAGTAACATTCAACGGGCAAGAGCAAAATAGTAAGTGAAAATTCTCAAGTATCAAATGGAAAATACCATTATTCAAAGCGCAAATGACAAATTAACAATTACAGAAAATTACTCGGTTTTGGGCTCCGAAGCTCCAGCAGAAGCGGGTTGACCCGATTCATCAGTAGCAAATGACCACTCAGGAGGTAAGGTAGGCAATGGAGGATAAACAGCGGGCCCACGTCGAATGTCCCAAGCTTGAGTCTTGCGTGGCCGCGTCTTCTTGTGGTGAGCTGTGGCCTTCTTCTGTGGCCTTGACGAACACTCAATTGCCAATCCTCCAAAACTTTTCGGCGCCGCCGCCAACTTGGTAGCTCCGCCATAGAGTCCGGTGGTTGATGCAGTTGAAGAACGCGGCAACACCGCCATTTTCAACCCGAATATCGCCGAGGCTGACATTTTTTCACTCCACAGGTTTTCTTCTTTTTTTCTGGTTCTGTTTGGAACCTTTGAATTTGGATTGCCTTCGTTATCTTCTGCTAATTTAACTTTTGCTGTCCGTACGCCGTCGTATTAGGAAATTGGGCCTATAGAGCCTCTGGGCCTAGAAGAGACTGGGTTGATCTTCATTTGTTTCAGGCCCAAATCAATCTGAAGGATCTTCCCTTTCCTTATAGCATGTTAGGCCAAGCTTCTTCAAAGCGAAAAACATTTTTTTTTTTTCAAAGTTGAAGTGTTTGGCTAAACTTTTAGAAGAAAAAAAATACTTTTGAGTAGAAGCAGAAATAATTTTGGAGAAGCAGAAAAAAATAGTTTCTCTCTAAAAGCACTTTTTTGAAAAAAACTTTTGAGAAAAATATATTTATAAGCACTTTTTAAAAGCTTGGCCAACACTAGTTGCCGCTCAGAAGTGATTTTCAATTAACAAGCCAAACACGAATTGCTTCTCATCAAAAAGTACTTTTGAATAAAAGCACTTCTCAGAATAAGCTGATTTTTGAAATTTGGCCAAACATGCTATTAATCTCAATAACTGAAACGTTATTCATTCTTACATGCGTGTTATTGTAATTCTATTTAAAGATTTGTGAATTATTTACTATAATTTCAAATTTCAACTTATTAATAGTAGTCTCAAAAGAAGTATTGGAGTTGCATTCAAGTGGTTGAGAGTTGAGACTCCACCTTATATCACTTAGGTGTAAGGTTTCAGTCGTACCAAAAGTCTTTCCTTCTTCTAACTTTTGCTCATTAGTGGACTAATCTTTACAATACAAATTTTTAAAAATAAAAAATATAATTCCACGGAACAAAATCCTTGAGAAAATATAATGGGGAAAAGGTAGAAATTATAGTGTATTATGGAGGAAACCGGCGTATTCAGGATTTTAAGAGCATGAGTGCACCATGAGCTCCAAAGAGCTGAGTTTCCGAGAGGGTGTCTGAGAGATGTATTTTTTGGTTTAGCAACTTCATAATTCAAAATAAAGACTAAAGAAAGAGAAGAAAAAAAAATGTAACCCATAAAAAAGGGGAAAAAAGAAACAAAAATAGAGTGTTTAATTAGAAAAAACGATAGGGGCATGAGGATTTAACCCTATTTGTTAATTAAAATATAATTTAAAAAGAAGAAAGTGTACAGGACCGAACTCCTAACTGAAAGGTAGAAGGTGCACCTCTTTACAAATGCACTAAAATGATCACTTGAGCTTGGGTTCACCTGTGCTAATTTAAGTAGTTGAGCTGAAATTCATTGGTACTATATATGATTTACGGAGAAGAGGATGGGTTCACATGAACCCACCCCCTCCCATGTGCATCTGCCTATGCGTAAACGACACCAAATAGGTATATTGGTAGATTAATCTAATTGGTATCGACATTAAAGGCTATTGCCTTGAGAAAAAAGAAACTAAACTAACTTATCCAATGTCAGCGTCGTATGAGTCAAGAGCTAGAGCATGGATCGTAGGAAAGCGAACTATCTTCTCGGGAAGCAATGCTCTCTTTCGCATAAGCCCTTTATTAAGTAAGGTGATGATCCTCTTTATCTGTCCGCCTAACCACTATGAATGAATATTAGATCAATAGAATAAGTTGTTCTCTAAGTTGTATCCTTACCACAAAGCTAGGGCAGCGATTGTTTAGTACAAGAGCTGAAAAATTGTTGATGAGGAAAGGTCGTAAGAACATAAGTTTAGGAAAAGCTCAGGCAAAAGGAAAAAGGTCAAATGACTACAGCCTAATTACGACAAATCCTTAAGAGTTATGGAGATAGATCATGGACACAACTACTCAACGGGTTGGGTGTGTTTGGTAATGTTTTCAACTGATTATCATAGTTAACAAAACTGCTTTCGAAAGCACCCTCTGATGTTATACGGATATAAAAGTTGTTATAGGAAATTAGAGGAATATGCAAGATGCAAGATAATATTAATCGTCATCTCTTGAATCTGGACGATATTAAGTCCAAACACGTTATTTTGCACCGTGTGAGTCTGATTTGTTCGTATCTTGTTGATTCATACTTAACCCTAAGGTTAGGGTTTACATATTCTCTTTGATTCGAACCGAAATTGGTTCAAGCTTTAATATTAAGTACTATCTCGTATATATTCGCCTTATTATATATGAATTTGTCTATTTCTGCCGATTATTTTTACTTGCCCTAAATTAGGGTTTCAGATCCTTTTAATTTGAACCAAATCTGGTTCGGTTCTATGTTTTGTGAATACTATTCATGTCTATGTTCATTTTATATAATATGTGATTCTTTGCCTTTATTTTCTGCCGATTTTGTGGAGTTTACCTAAAAACTAGGGTTTCAAAATTTTTCTTCTTTACTGATTGTTTGAATTAATTATATTTCCGTATTTATGTGTTTAGTTCCTACGCTATTTAAACCTCTACCCACTCCCCTTTGGTTAAGTTCGAAAATCCTTAAAAAAAATACTATAAACTAAGACTGTACGTTTTTCATTCTTGAATACACTTGTTTAGTATTTTTTATTCCTGGCCGGCTAACAGACAAGGCCAGAAA